TTTGGTCGAAATTCATGTGGAAGTGGTACCCCCAAAATATCCTATATAGACATGGATCAAAATTTCCCACCCCCATAACTCAGTCAAATCTCATCCGATTTTCATAAAGTTTGGCTTTTTGTTCATGGTTTTGCCCCTTAATCAACTTGGCATCAAAATCTGGCAACATCATTTTTGGTCGAAATTCATGTGGAACTGGTACCCTAAAATATCCTATATAGACATGGGTCAATATTTCCCACCCCCATAACTCAGTCAAATCTCATCCGATTTTCATAAAGTTTGGCTTTTTGTTCATGGTTTTGCCTCTAAATCAACTTGGCATCAAAACCTGGCAACATAATTTTTGGTCGAAATTCATGTGGAAGTGGTACCCCAAAATATCCTATATAGACATGGATCAAAATTTCCCACCCCCATAACTCAGTCAAATCTCATCCGATTTTCATAAAGTTTGGCTTTTTGTTCATGGTTTTGCCCCTTAATCAACTTGGCATCAAAATCTGGCAACATAATTTTTGGTCGACATTCATGTGGAACTGGTACCCCAAAATATCCTATATAGACATGGGTCAATATTTCCCACCCCCATAACTAGGTCAATTCTCATCCGATTTTGATAAGGTTTGGCTTTTTGTTCATGGTTTTGCCTCTTAATCAACTTGGCATCAAAACCTGGCAACATAATTTATGGTCGAAATTCATGTGGAAGTGGTACCCCAAAATATCCTATATAGACATGGGTCAATATTTCCCACCCCCATAACTCAGTCAAATCTCATCCGATTTTCATAAAGCTAGGATTATTGTTCATGGTTTTGCCGTAAATCAACTTGGCATCAAAATCTGGCAACATCATTTTTGGTCGAAATTCATGTGGAACTGGCACCCTAAAATATCCTATATAGACATGGGTCAATATTTCCCACCCCCATAACTCAGTCAAATCTCATCCGATTTTCATAAAGTTTGGCTTTTTGTTCATGGTTTTGCCTCTAAATCAACTTGGCATCAAAACCTGGCAACATCATTTTTGGTCGAAATTCATGTGGAACTGGTACCCACAAATATCCTATATAGACATGGGTCAATATTTCCCACCCCCATAACTCAGTCAAATCTCATCCGATTTTCATAAAGTTTGGATTATTGTTCATGGTTTTGCCCGTAAATCAACTTGGCATCAAAATCTGACAACATCATTTTTGGTCGAAATTCATGTGGAACTGGTACCCACAAATATCCTATATAGACATGGATCAATATTTCCCACCCCCATAACTCACTCAAATCTCATCCGATTTTCATAAAGTTTGGCTTTTTGTTAATGGTTTTGCTTCTTAATCAACTTGGCATCAAAATCTGGCAACATCATTTTTGGTCGAAATTCATGTGGAACTGGTACCCACAAATATCCTATATAGACATGGGTCAATATTTCCCACCCCCATAACTCAGTCAAATCTCATCCGATTTTCATAAAGTTTGGATTATTGTTCATGATTTTGCCCGTAAATCAACTTGGCATCAAAATCTGACAACATCATTTTTGGTCGAAATTCATGTGGAACTGGTACCCACAAATATCCTATATAGACATGGATCAATATTTCCCACCCCCATAACTCACTCAAATCTCATCCGATTTTCATAAAGTTTGGCTTTTTGTTAATGGTTTTGCTTCTTAATCAACTTGGCATCAAAATCTGGCAACATCATTTTTGGTCGAAATTCATGTGGAACTGGTACCCCAAAATATTCTATATAGACATGGATCAAAATTTCCCACCCCCATAGCTCAGTCAAATCTCATCCGATTTTCATAAAGTCTGGCTTTTTGTTCATGGTTTTGCCTCTAAATCAACTTGGCATCAAAACTTGGCAACATCATTTTTGGTCGAAATTCATGTGGAACTGGTACCCACAAATATCCTATATAGACATGGGTCAATATTTCCCACCCCCATAACTCAGTCAAATCTCATCCGATTTTCATAAAGTTTGGATTATTGTTCATGGTTTTGCCCGTAAATCAACTTGGCATCAAAATCTGACAACATCATTTTTGGTCGAAATTCATGTGGAACTGGTACCCACAAATATCCTATATAGACATGGATCAATATTTCCCACCCCCATAACTCACTCAAATCTCATCCGATTTTCATAAAGTTTGGCTTTTTGTTAATGGTTTTGCTTCTTAATCAACTTGGCATCAAAATCTGGCAACATCATTTTTGGTCGAAATTCATGTGGAACTGGTACCCCAAAATATCCTATATAGACATGGATCAAAATTTCCCACCCCCATAACTCAGTCAAATCTCATCCGATTTTCATAAAGTCTGGCTTTTTGTTCATGGTTTTGCCTCTAAATCAACTTGGCATCAAAACTTGGCAACATCATTTTTGGTCGAAATTCATGTGGAACTGGTACCCACAAATATCCTATATAGACATGGGTCAATATTTCCCACCCCCATATCTCAGTCAAATCTCATCCGATTTTCATAAAGTTTGGATTATTGTTCATGGTTTTGCCCGTAAATCAACTTGGCATCAAAATCTGACAACATCATTTTTGGTCGAAATTCATGTGGAACTGGTACAGACAAATATCCTATATAGACATGGATCAATATTTCCCACCCCCATAACTCACTCAAATCTCATCCGATTTTCATAAAGTTTGGCTTTTTGTTAATGGTTTTGCTTCTTGATCAACTTGGCATCAAAATCTGGCAACATCATTTTTGGTCGAAATTCATGTGGAACTGGTACCCACAAATATCCTATATAGACATGGGTCAATATTTCCCACCCCCATAACTCAGTCAAATCTCATCCGATTTTCATAAAGTTTGGATTATTGTTCGTGGTTTTGCCCCTAAATCAACTTGGCATCAAAATCTGACAACATCATTTTTGGTCGAAATTCATGTGGAACTGGTACCCACAAATATCCTATATAGACATGGATCAATATTTCCCACCCCCATAACTCACTCAAATCTCATCCGATTTTCATAAAGTTTGGCTTTTTGTTAATGGTTTTGCTTCTTAATCAACTTGGCATCAAAATCTGGCAACATCATTTTTGGTCGAAATTCATGTGGAACTGGTACCCCAAAATATCCTATATAGACATGGATCAAAATTTCCCACCCCCATAGCTCAGTCAAATCTCATCCGATTTTCATAAGGCTTGGCTTTTTGTTCATGGTCTTGCCTCTAAATCAACTTGGCATCTAAGACTGGCAACATTATTTTGTTTTTAGTTTTTGTCCGATATGCTTTATATCTATTTTGAAAGCTCTGCATAAGAACTTAAGGAATAGTCTATATTGGATTGCAAATTTATTTTCAATGGTATTAGAGAGTATTTATTTTATACGTATCACGGAAAATGCCGGAGTATACCCGCTAGTGTAAATATATATTTGTAATAACCTACTTACCTGCACGAACGATTGTTATCGTCATCTATTAGTAGGCGGCAGACGAACTTTTATGTGAACACATCCCTGAAAGAAAATAAAAGCAGATATGTTTATTAACTTGAATTAGTGAGAATCGCATTGTAGACCAACATTTAGACAACAAAACAAACATACATTCATACGATTGTAATAATTGTATTTTATTTAAAATAAATCTAAGCGTAGTTTTGTTTATAATACGTACCAGTTTTTTCTACGGTCACATTTATAATTGATGTTTCCGCCTCCTCTAAGGCCGCTGCCGCCTCCTTCATAGTTAAGGCAACCTCCTGTATAGTTGAAGTTGAAGCCGTTGCCTCCTCTTATGATTAAGCTGTCGCCTCCTCCCAAATTGAAGCCGCCTCCTCCCAAATTGAAGCCGCCTCCTCCTTTGGTCAAGCTGCCGCCTCCTCCTATATGAAGGCCGCCGCCTCCTGCACTTGAAGTGAAGCCTTACTTACTAGAGGCTTACCTGAATTTATGAGAATCGCGTAGTAGGGCATTAGTTAAGAATACGTAAAGGCACACACACATGCATGATACTTCCAAACATTAATGTGTAAATAAATACAAGCACACATACACATACATACATACTTACATACATACATGCACACACATATACATACATACATACATACATACATACATACATACATACATACTTTTATACATACATACATACACACATACATACATACACAAATACATACATACATACATACACACATACATACATACATGAATACATATAAACATACATACATACATACATAAATACATGCATACTTACATACATACATACATACATACACAAATACATACATACATACACACATACTTACATACATACATACATACGCACATACATGAATACATATAAACATACATACATACATACATGCATACTTACATACATACATACATACATACATACATACATACACACATACATGCATACATATAAACATACATACTTACATATATACATATATACTTACTAACATACATACATACATACATACATGCATACATACATACATACATACATACATACATACATACATACATACATACATACATACATTCATACATACACACATGCAAGCATACATATAAACATACATACTTACATATATACATACATACTTACTTACATACATACATACGTACATACATCCATACCTACATATATACATCCATACGTACATACATCCATACATACATACACACATACATACATACAAACATACCTGCAGACATGCATACATCCAGACATGCAAAAATACATACATACAAACATGCATACATGTACACACATATACACACATATATGTACATATACACCTTATGGTGAGAATCTTTAAGCCGAAGTGTGTTATTTAACCCCTTGACCCATTTAATCCACCAAGAGAGGTTATTTTTTGCGAAAAGTGTGAAAGATCTTTAAACAATTTTAGGTTTTCCCTAATAATCGTTTTTTCTTAATAAATATTAGCTTTTCCTTAAATATATGCCTAGCTTTGAATTTAAATCAAATTAATATATCTACATTTTGTGTTTGTTTGAATTTACAGTATTACGACTTCACCGAGATTGCCGAGGTCGCTGCACGCGAATTTACGGAATTCCTATCGAATAAATTTCCAAATGCCAACACGCCAATTGCCATAGATGAACCGACACGCGCGGAGGTGAGCCGGCGGGCCAATGGCATTGCCAGCAATGCCCTCAACGAGGATGACAATCTGTTGGCCTTTGCCATCGCGGCGCCCAGCATACACACAGTTGTTGTCAAATTCAGGGACAATGTGACGGTCAGTTCCGGACTACGACAATAAACAAATAAGATTTAAGCATATGGACTTTAAATGGTTATTCGTATTATTTACTTTTCAGATACCACCGAATCAGGTGCATAACAAGGCTTACCTGGGTTCCTATTGGCGGGAATTGGGGTGAGTTCCAGATACAAGTCCAAGCATTTGTTTTAATTATGTACAATTTTCAAATTTTAAAACTAATTAAAATATATGTATATGTTAAGATTTAGTTTTAATAAATGATTAATTTTACTGGGAAATGAAATTTGTTGTCTTAAAAAATCCTAAAACAATTTTCAACATTTTCTTTGTTGATAAACGAACAATATTAAACCCTTTTTTTCATTTCTTGTCTTGTCTATAAAAATCTTGTTTGATTTGATGTCCGAAAAATATTCTTAAAACAAAATTCATTCATATCATTATGAAATTGAAATAATTTTTCTTAAGCTTATTTAAGATTTGAATGCATCTTAAAATAAGTTTCAAATATATAATGTTTAAAATATAATATTGTTTTGCTTTGCTTCTGGATCATACTAGAATACTTTCTCTATTTCATTGAAGCTTAATTCAAGTCTCCGGAGAATCTTTAAACAAGCTTCAAATAACATCAAATACTCATTATTTTGATTAAAAGACCTAAATATTTGATTTCCCAGTGGATCGTATCGTATATGATATTATTAAATAGCTATAGCTTGCGTTTGCGTGCAGCTGACAGTTCGCTAATTGATTTGATCCTATCGAAAATGCTTACAGGGCCGCCTGGAACAGCAGCGATGGCACCAAGGAGTGGGGCGCGCCCTTTCGTGACTGCAACCTTTTGACGGGGCGCTGGCTGTGGCCATTTCGCATATCATTCACCGAGCACCGAATCAAGTGAGTTATTACTAAAGTTAAATATCTAAGTAATTAATTACTCTTACTGACTGACTGATCGATTGACTGGGGGCTGTTCTTGTTCTTGTGATATGAATCCACGAACAGACGGGATTTTGGTAACTTTCACTTACAAGCGTGGAAAATTTGTGGAAAGGAAATTGATTAAAACTGTGCGTGTGCAATTCGCTTAAATCATTTCTATAGATCGCTGAAAGAATTTATGAGTAAGCTGAAATTTCCATAGCAGGTCTTTCTTGTGATATGAATTCACGCTTGAATGTGGTTTTCTTAAATTCCACCTGCAAGCGTGGAATTTAGTGAAAAGGCCATTGATAAAAATTGTGCCTGTGTGATTCATTTAACTAATTTCTGAAGATCTCTGTGAGAATTTATAGCAGGCATGTTTTATACAAATTTACTTCCACGGTCGGAAAATGGGTGGAAAACTGCTGACATTGATTTTTTTTTTCTCCGCTTGATGGCCTTTAAATATTTCAAAGATCTAATTAAGAGTATTTATAAATTCCATCGGGCGTAAAATAAGTGGAATACCTTAAGCTAATAAATATAAAAAAAAATTATAAAAGCCAATTTAAAATTCAATCTTTACAGAATTGTTGCCGCTGCCTTTATAGCCGCCGATGAGGATGTGTGCAACGACGGCCTGGAGGAGGTTTTCGGACGGCGTCACGGGTAAAATGCACTTAAAATACGAATTAAGTAAAGAAATAAAGATTAACTGGGTTTTCATATATGTTGCAGCTGCGATCGGAACACCACATTTTGCCTGCTGACCGAAACGAAGCCGCCGGCCACGCGTGATGTCTACACGTGTTTGTGCCGCGAATCCTATTACCTGCCCAATGGGACGCTGCAGGGTTTTCCCGGTGATCTGGTGGAGCTATCCGAGGGCTATGACAATTACTCATGTCTGCCCTGTCCGGGTGGCTGCAGCAATTGCGACATGCACGGCGTATGCCTCAACTTTCAGGAGGAGGATGCGCTCAACATAGATGCCTGCCTGCGTCTCCTGGTGGCCATTATCCTGGCCGCCTGCATTCTGTGCTGTGTGGTGCTCAGCGTGATCGTGTTCCGGCAGCGCAAGTGCAAGGTGGGTCAGAAAACTAGCTACAAATACATTGATTTTATCTCTGGGCAATTACTATTTTAGGCCATTGCCTCGGGCATGTGGACCGTGCTGGAGACCATTCTGCTGGGCATTGTTTTACTTTATGCATCGGTGCGTCAATTTGCAGCCAAGGATTTGCCTGCTTATTTGTAATGCCATGCCTCATTTTAGGTTGCCGTCCATTTCTTTCCCGCCTCCACGGAGCGCTGCCTGCTGGAGCCCTGGCTGCGCGAAATTGGCTTTATTACGTGCTATGGTGCGATTATATTGAAGCTATATCGGCATCTGGTGGACTTTCGCACCAGGAAGGCGCATCGCTGGGTGCTGCGCGACGTCGATCTGCTCAAGTATCTGGGCACCATGGTGTTTGCCGTTGTCTGTTATATGTCCGCATTTACGGCCTCGTCGCTGGACCTGCTCGAGAGCGCCCAGCTGGAGAGTCTGCGTGAGGCCAGCACCAACACTTGCCATCCCCTCAAATGGGAGCTGGTGACGCAGACCAGCGAGATGCTCATCCTCTGCTTTGGCCTACATCTGGCCATTGCCAGTCGCAATGCCAATACACAGTTTCGGGTGAGCTGGTGACTTTTTTTTTACCAGTTTATAATATAAACTTTCTTTTGATAAGTGCCTCTTTTTATCGAAAATCGATAAATATCGATAAGTATTGGCTTGCAGTTTTCTCAGCTAATCTTAAGTATTGACAATGTTTTATAATTGACAGAATGTTTTGTATTTAGCAGAACAAATTGTTTAATATTATTTAAAAATATTTCCGCATTTTTTAGAAATCGATTAGCAGAATGCTAGAGTCTTTAAAATTTATCTCGGATTCTCTTGAAGTGTGTCGCTTTTTCTAAACTCAAAAAAAAAAAAAGCGGATTCTCCAGATTCTCTAACATTATTTTAGCTATTTTTATACCCTAGAAAAATAAAAGTGATTCTCTAGATTTTGATCCTTTAATGTTCCATGACTTTTAAACGACCTACCCTAACACAAAACTACTACTTACATTTTTAGCTTTGATTAAAAAAAGGGTTCGGTTTCAAGTTTCTTTACGTACAAATATAAATATTATATTATATAAATATTTTAAATCTCTTACCATTTACAGGAGCGTCAATTTCTGGTCACAACGTTGACGCTGGAATTTTTGGTGTCATCCAGTTTCTATTTTCTGCGCTTCGTCTATTTGCCGGAAATGAGTCCCAGCGCCATTTTGTTGGCGCTTTTTGTGCGCTCGCAGCTGACAAATAGCTTCGCCTTGGGTTTGATATTTGTGCCAAAATTGTGGTATCAACACAAGCAGGTAACAAACATTTGTTCATGATTTCTGTCGGCGCTTGAGTTTTTCCAATGATTTTCCTATGATTTTCAATTAACATTTGGTTTAACATTCAGATTGATTTATTGCTAAACAAAACAAAAAGAAAAGATTAATAAACAATAAACAAGTGCGTCCAAAGTTTGTTCGTGTGCTAAATGCATATATATTTACCATATATATACAACATGCTAGACAGTTGAGATAATTCCGCCGTATACCATATATAGTTGAGATAAACCCGCCGTAGGCTCAATTTGTGCACAGTCATCATCAAGTAAAATTATATCGCAAATCATAGTCTCGTCTTTGTATTTGGTATTGACATTTGGTTGAGGAAACGATTTTTGTAGAAAAAAAAAAAAACAAATTTGAGAAACGCCGCCGCAGAAAGCTTTTTGCTGGAAAAAAAAAAACAAATTTTTTTGATATGTTAAAAGAACAACATTTTGTTTTTCTTTTGATTTGTCGAGTTGAATTCTTATTAAACAATTTTAGTATTTAAGCTAACATAATTCATGAATTTTAGTCAAGCTATGAAGTTGCTGCAAGTGTCATTTTACTGTACCAGAATGTTTACTGTATGTATTTCGAGTTCCATTATCATTTCACATTTGCACCCTAAACACTTTCCGTTGCACAACTGTACTTTTTTGGTTTAATAAATTTAAGCGAACGTTAACCAACACTGGCCGCATGAAATTTTCTTGTTTGTTTGCATGCATTTCAGCTAAGACAACAGATACAAGTAGAATGACAAAAATCGGTTTCCTTTTAATACCCAACATGCATACCAAAACTATAGAGTATCTTCTTCTTCCACATACACTATAATATCAATATATATATATATATATGTGCCTCTCTTTGCCTCTCTCTCTCTCTGTCTGCCTCTCTAACTGTCTCTCTGTGTGCCTCTCTAACTCTCTAACCCAAGTAGCTTAGCCGAAGCCCAAAAAATAACGTTTAGTCGTCGTTAATTATGTTCAGATTTTGACCTATGTTTATCTCATTTACAGCACCACAAGAGACATAACCACGCCCACGCCCCAATAAACACACATTTATAAAAAAAAGACACACTAATCTAAAAGCCATAATATACACTCAGAGAAAATGTCGAGTTAAATTCAGAGCCTAAAATATATTAAGACTTAAACTTAATTGAGAAGCTTTAAAAAGCTTCCTTAAGACAGAAGTTTCTGTCGATTCTTATAAGTTTAAAATATATTAAACTTTTAACTAAATTGAAAGAGATTTAAGTTTGCTTAAGCCCTAAATTTCAAAAGAACAAAATTTAAACAGTTTCATTAAAGATCTTTTGTTCTTTCATTAAGCAAAATTGCGCTTAATTTAAGATTGTAGATTCTTATAATTAACAACTTATTCGAAAGCTGTTTATCTTATTTCTTATTCATTATTTTAAAGAAAATATAATAAAATATCTTAAAAACTTCTACGCAAAAAAGAATATTTTTAAATCGCACACAGTTTTTCTCTGAGTGTAAAAACCCATCAAAATTCCATACACAATTGACACAAAGCGCACTCAAATTTCTTCTATACTTTTCCAATTCTTACGATTCTGTTCATTCTATTTTTTATTTGTTTCTGTTATTTTGTTTTACCTTGACTCTCTGTTGAGTTTCCGTTTCCTTTGGCATTTCCGTTCGACTGTTAACCGTTATGCGTTGGCTTTTCCGTTTCGGTTTCCATTTCCGTTTCCGTTTTCTTCTTTTTTTTTGTACGGTGCTGAGTGTGTGTTTTTGCGGTGTTTGTTGCATCTTCATAGCTTGCAGGTTCGTTCGCTTGCGTATGATCTATCAATGCGTTTACCTGTGGATGCTTTCAAGGGTACCTCACACGATGCCGGGCAGCGCCTCGGCGGCGGCTATGCGGGTCTGTGCCTCGGCGATCCGGACATCGGTGAGCTGACCATATCCGAAATGAGTCCCGAGGATATACGTGCCGAACTCAAAAGGTGAGACCCGGCTTGATCATGATGACAATTTGATGATAATTGATGAATGTCCCTTTCCTTTTTTTTTTTGCAGACTGTACACACAACTGGAGATTTTGAAGAACAAGACACTGCGTCAGGATAATCCGCATATTAGCAAAAGGCGCGGCGGCCGCAAGGCGGGACATCGTCGCTTCTCATTGCAAGTAAGTGACTGAAGACCGACTGGCCGTCAAGTCAGGGTCTTCACTGTAAAATACATTTCCACCATGGCCAGTGACAAGAAGGTCGTCTTACTTCCAAAAGCAAAGCCAAAAGTTGTCTCAATGTTTTTAAAACTCTACCCAGAGCCCGAGCCTAAGCTCTCCCACCCTTCCCCTACTCTCTATCTATAAGTCTCGCTCTCTTTCGCTCTCTCCCACCCCCACCCCCTCTCTCTCTCTCTCTCACACATACACACACACACACACTCTCTCTTTTTAATTCCACTCTTTCTGTGTCAATATATAAGTATTAATATGAAATATATCTATATATATATATATCATTGTTCTTGTCATGACTTGTACTATACTATGAAAAAAAAAAACTCAAACCCACCAACAAAAACCAAATTAAAAAAAAAACACTCTAAATGTAGAAAAAGGGCAGCAAAGATAAGGTAAGCAACGTCAGACTCTCTCACTGTTACATAACACGTAAAGCTAACCTAAAAAAAAAAAAACAAAACCTAAAGCCGAAAAAACTAACCTAACTTTGTGTTGTGCATAACCTCAAAAATACCAAAAACAAAAAAAGAAGGCGCCTAACTCAACGTAACATATCGTTAAGTCTTTAACAACAACTTAGCATGCAGGCCAAAGCTACCCAAAATTAATAAAAATATTAAATAAATAATTGTACCAAGTCCTTTGAGTCTCTTCTGTCTACAGTGTTTCCCAAAAATGCATGTACACCCATAGCACTTGATGTATCTAAGCTAAAACTAAACAGAACCCTTTAATAATAAAAAACAAATAACTAACAAAAATGCACTAAATTAACTGCTAAATTGTTAGACTAGCCCCATGAATAATATGACGCAAAACCTTTCGCAGGCTTTAAGTGCCAAACATCGCAGCAATAAGCATCATCAGGATATTGAAATAACCGAAGCGGAACCGTCGCGCACGCCCGAGGATTCAGTCTGCAGTGCGGAGGGACCGACAGATACCTATGCCGAAATATCGGGCATATCGCATTCAATGCTATCCCATTCCATGGTCTCCCACTCCGTTGTCTCGCACTCGAAGTAGGCCTTCAAACCACGCGGCCATACTGTACATAACTCAAGCAAACTAGATATATGCTATATATAGATATATATATATATATAGATACGTGAATGTATGTAACTGAGAATTAGGTGCAGCATAAAAACAAATAGCGCAACAACACAAACAATAAAAGAATTACTTTAATTTTTGCAATGAGATTGAGCAAATGTTAAAAATAATAATAATAAATTAAAAACAAAAAAAATATATATATATATAATTATATATAGAAACAATAAAAAACATTACTTTATTTTAACAAAAATGGCATGGAGCAGTGTTGAGCAACACCAAAAAAAATACAGTGTTGTGCATAGTACAGTGTTGAGCAACAACAACAATTTGAAAAAAGGAAATGAAAATTTTGTACAATTTTGATAAATTTTTGAGAGCTGTTTTTTGTGCGTGTGGTTTAAGTTTTTTTTTTTTAAATTATGACAAGAGCAAAATCGTAGAAGAACGAAAAAAAATAAAGAGTTGAAAAATGAATAACAGAGCCCACCTGTGTAGGTAAACGTTAAAAACTGTTGCAGCAAATATGTTATCTAACACTGTTTTTCTCTTTGTTTGAATATATCTTAACTGAGTTCCTTGAAAGTAACTAAGCAAATACTTATATATTTAATAATTTGCCTTTTTCATTTGTAACCGCAATAAAAATGAATCAAATATGTTAAACACTAACTCAAAAGACAATTCCTAATGGTCGTAAATCAGTTGTAAATTTGAGCTTATAGGCAATACTTACTTATAAAACATACTAGAAATTCCCCCCCCCCCCCCCCTCCCCAGCTTCCTTCCTCTAAACTAACTACTTACACAATCGACGCCTAGACTTTAAACTATGTATGTACTTTATATATACCTATATATATATATATATATATATATAAATAATTAATATTGTAAAACCACAGCAACTAATCAGCGTATAGCGAATATTTGTATATACTTACATATACTATACAGATATATATTGATTTATATATGTATGCATATCTGAAGTATGCGCCATTTAATATACTCGTACATTGTGAGAGGAGCAAAGCCACAAAATACCAAAGCGAGGCACTTGTTAACTTTGTGACAGAGCGATCAGAAGCAAGAAAAAAAAACGAGTTAATAAAAACTACAAAAATTGTTGTATAATTTTACAAATAGTTCAGCAGCGAGGTTGGGGGCGTGGCAAATTAACGATCGTTCAGAATGTTAGTAAGTAGCTAATACTTATGAATATATGAATAATAGTCAAGTAGCTAAAACAGAAAAAAACGCAATTTTCACCATCCAAAATTGAATTCAAAACTCCAAAAGAAAAAAAAACAGAAAATTTTTTAACATTTTTTGAGGTTAGTTTTTATAATTTATAATTCCAATAAAAAACAAAATGCATTTGAAATGTTAAAATCAAAAATAAATTTTTTACAATCCAAAATTGAAAAGAAAACAAAAGTTAATTTAAAAAATTAAAAATGCAAATACAAAAAATACGCAAAATTTATTTAATTTATAATTTTGTAGGTTAGATTTAATTTCCATTTATATAATTGCAATAAAACAAAATGCATTTGAAATGTGTTTATGAAAAAAAATGAAAACAGAAGAAAAAAAAAACAGCAGCAAACCAGACAATGTGGATTTTATATTTTTAAGGTTAGTTTTTAATTTTTTTCTTTTATTTTTTTTTTTATTTTTTTTTTTTTTTAGTAATAAACGAAATACATTTGAAATGTATTTTGTAATGTTTCTACTCCGGTAGCCATATAAGCAATTTTTGAATATGAATAAAAAGGAAGAAGCGTAATATTCTGAATAAATAAGTCCAAAAATGAGAACAAAGCAAAGATTCAAAGCCATCTTATAGAACATATACAGTATACAGTACATAGGCATTTACATGAGGTATACAAATATGTGAAAAAAACATTCTGGTTGGGAAAACGTTTAAATTAGTTAATAAACAAAAAAACACACAAACACACACACACTCACACACACAGACAAGCATGCAACAAGTTGAGCATTTAAAAATATATAAAAAAACAAAAAATACAACTTTTTGATTGCGTTTGATCAAAAAGGTTTGTGTAAAAATATGAATAAATTGATATAATGGCATATACATTATTATATATATAAATATATATATATATATATATAACTGATTATACTATATATAAATTATACATATATAGGAATGTATGTAATTGACATATATGTATGTGTGTGTGTATCGGCATTACAATAATAAAAAAACAACAAAAAAAACATTTAATATATGAAAAATAACAAAACAAAGAAAGGGGCATAATTTAAAAAAATAGTTGCTCATTGCAAAAGAAAAATTGAAAAATCCATGGTCGAAAATCGAAAATGAATTAAAAACCGAAAAAAAAACCAACATTTTGCAAGTGTGATAGTGTTCATAATATGCGTTCATTGTAATTTAAAGTAATAAAAAACCAAAAACAAAAAAAAAAAATAAATTGAATAAAAACCAAATGTCTCATAGAAATTAAAATTCAAAAGCCTTGCGTCTATATATATAAATATATATATATATAAAAGTATATTTATATATATGGGGCAAGGGGCAGGGCGAAAAACCAAAAATTGTAACGCAAATATTTCAAAATGAATTATGAAACAAAAATAACAAAAAGAAAACAAACAAAACAACAGAAAAAAAATAAGAGCGACAACAAAAAAAATGATACTAATAAACATAAATAATGATTAAATCAAATTAAAACTTGTTTAATTTTGTTTAAGAAAGAAATTCTTTATATATTTTTTGAAATATTTTCAGTATTGTGTTGAAAGGAAATTTAAGCATATCTTTATTTAATAATCTTGTAGACATTTCCCACTTCCCAGATATGTGAGAATAGCGGAGAATAGAGAATAATACAAATATCCCAGAAAATCGAATTATATTGCCATATAAGAACCTAACTATTCGACCGATAATTCCTATAGCAGCTATATGAAATGCCGATCCGATGTTCATAGCCATTGGCATATATGTACTGATCATAGATCTAATAAATCCCGAGTTTGGATAGTTATCTTAATATTAAAGAGAAGGATCGGCACGCCGAAGATCTAATACCCTAGCAGACCCAACCATTTTACAATCCTTGTAGTGCCTTGCCCGTATCTAAGAAGCACAGCGCAAGTTCCTATGGCAGCTATATCATATAGTGGTCCGATTCAGGTTCAGGTTTGGACATATGCGCTGCGTGCAACAGAAAAAGGGACTTCTGCAAAGTTCCATTGAGATAGCTTTAAAACTGAGAGACTGGTTCGCATAGAAACAGACAGACGGACACGGTTTTATCGACTCGGCTGTTGATGCTGATCAAGAATATATATACTATATGGGTTCAGAGATGTCTCCTTCTATGCGTTACACATTTCACAACAAAATTATCATACCCTCTGCCAGGGTATAAAAGGGTTTCCAAATCAGCATCAACTATTCGGCTGATCTTTCCTATAGCGGGAATATGATATAGCGGTCCGATGTTGATAAGCTTTTAAGCCTTTAAATTCCGTTTGGGCAAGAAATCTTGTTAAGCAACAAAAGGTTTCTATACAAGTATTTAATTTTCGAGCGATCTTCTATTATGGTAGCTATATGATATAGCGGTCCGATCCGGCCGGCTCCGACATATGTACGATAACTTAAAAACCAAGACAGGCGGACGGGGCAGAAAGACAATCAGACAGACGGGCATGGCTATAACAGCTCGTTTGTTGATGCTGATCTAGAATATATATACTTCAGAGGGTCGGAGATGTCGCCTACTCCATGACAAATATATAATATACGCTACGATGGTATAAAAAATTCAATGCATTACTTACGATTGTGCAGATATGCGAAAAGAATCATGAGTTTTCCATATAAAAACACCTTATCGATCGATTTTTCCTATATGATATAGTAGTCCGATACTGCTACGATCTGTTCCATAGACCTGTCAAGATCTGCTCCATAGGGCTATATGCTATAGCAATCCGTTGCTGATACGATTTGTCCTGCTTGGCTTTATGATATTGAAGTCCGATGCTTATAAGAGATGTCTTATATGTTAGGTGGGACACTGACGCATAAATAAACGCTCGCATATATAGATAAATCGGACAAATATAAATAAAACTAGACATTTGATGGATATGGATCAGATTTCGAAGTGCACACATCGAGCAAATCTACCGCAAGTTAAACAGTTCCATTTGCAAGTTTAGGTAAGTATTTTCTTAAACAAATTAATATTAAAATATCTTCTCTTATAATATTTCTACAAGTCGGACCTTTATTCATTTATAGTATACTCTCTATATATATATATATATATCTCTTCTTCATTTCTTTGCTCTTTTTTTTTTTTAATTATAATTGAAATATTGCTTGAAGTTGATTTCAAGAGTGTTTCCTTGTTAGATTGCAATTACATTCAATGCATACAAATTATGAATTAATTAAATTTAAATTTAGTTTTAATTACAATTTGTTAAAACTATTTACTCACTTTGCTTGCTTTGTTCGCCATCATTTTGGTAGTTGTTAGTTAATTAATTAATTAATTAGTTAGTTAGTTAGTTAGGATCTAGCAGTTATTATATTAGTACGTATCGTTCGATAATTTCTTACTTTCTGCTCAACAATTTTCAGTTTTACAAAATTTTCTCAATTGAATTAGTTTAGATTAGAGAGAAGCGAGCTTTGCATTTGGTTTTCTTCTTTTCCTTTTTTTTTGTTGGTTGCTTTTGATCGTCAACTTGTTTTATTAAAACTTAAATAAAAAAATTACAATAATTAGTTAATTACTTAATAATTATTTTGGTTTTACATGCGCTGCGCATTCGTTTTGTTGCTGGTGCCTATGTGTGTGCATTTTAGGTAGACTTTTTGTTTGAGTGTATTAATAATAGTTTATATATATATATATATAGATGTACATTATACATTTATATAACACTATATCTGGTTTTGTAAAAAATGTACAATTTAATTGGTTTTGGTTGACTTTTTGCTACAGTTTTAGTTTTTAGTTTTCATATTTGTTTAGTACATACAACTTGCAAGTAAATTAATTGATTAAAAATGTTTCCTTTCGTTTTAATAACTAATTATTATTATTATTATCATATATTACAAAAACAATTATAATTATTATGCGTATAAGCTTGTTACGTTACGACTGTTTACTTTTGTTTTTTTTTATTTTTTAAAAGCTTAGTTTTATCAAAAATTGTTATTAGACTTTATATATATATATGTATATATATATATATATATATTGTATATTTTGTTGTTGTTTTTTAAACTAGTTTGGCGCGTAAAGCTGTGTTGCGTTTTGCATAGAATTTTTGTTGCTTTTCGTTTTATCAATTTTGCACTTAAATACTTTTTTTTGTCTTGCGTTTCGAAAATGCGCTTGAAAGAACTTAAATAAACAACAAAAAGAATGAAAAACAATTTGGTTAACATTTAGAATGTACAAAACCAGTTAAGCAGTTAAATTTAAGTAGAAAAAAAACAAATAAACAAACAAACTAAACAATATTAATTGTAATTAGTTTTAAAACATAATTTCCATATCATTTTTTATACATCGTAAATAAATTTAAAGCCAAACTAACGAGATCCTGCTCGTATGCAAATTAAGCAAAAGCGTTTTTTTTTTGTTTTTGTTTCGTTTTAACTGAGTAAAAATTTTGAAAAATTCATCATATTTTTCAATGCATGAGAATAAATAACTTGGGGTTTGTTTTTTGTTTTGTTTTTGTTTTTTTTTTTTTTTGTTTTTCTTTGTTCGAATTAAGTGTGCGTGTAATATTTAAATGTTTATAAAACAAATTAATTTAAGTTTTGCGCGTAGTTAAAGAATATCGTCAACATGAGTTTTAGCTTGAAACAAGTTTAAAACATAAAATAAGATTTTTTTTTTTATATATATATAAAAAAAGGTATTTCACTTTATATGCATAAATAATATAGATGTGTGTGTGTTTTTGTGTGCGCTATAAAAAGTATTTAACGATTACGATACAAAATAAAATATGCATTAAAATCTCAGAGAATAACAAAATTATGACTTATACGACATGACAAAGTTCATATATATATATATATATATGTGTATATATATATATATATATATATATATATAAAGAAAGAGAAGGAAAATCAAATATCGTTAAACTTAACAATAGAAAACGCCATTGTTGTTGTATTACAATTTGTTACTATAAGTAAGTTTATCTTTTTTTTTTTTTTTTCATTTTTTTCTGTTTCTTTTTGATAGCAAAAATTCTAATTTAGAGTCTAGCAGCACTTTGAAGATTTGCCAGTCGTTGGTTGCTTGTGATCCGCGCCCCAAATTCTTGTCGTCTTTAAAGAACGTCTTTCATTACAGTTGCTCTCCATCTTTCCACTCTTCAGTTCCCCATCGCATTATCTCAATCTCCCGATCCAGTTCCGGTTCCAGTTGCAGTTTGCAGTTTTAGGCCACATTTTGTGTGGTTTTCTTTGGGTCAACTATTATGGTCCGGCCACCGCTGGGCCTATCCTAGAGCGGATGCAGCTTGGTCGTGTGCACGGTTAAGGCGCTGCGTTGCGTGAATCGTTTGTCACAGTACGGACAGGTGTACGGCTTTTCGCCGGTGTGTGTGCGTATGTGTTTCGTGAGATAGTCCTTAACGCTGAAGGACTTCTCACAGTAGCCACAATGAAATGGTTTTTCACCTGCAATTACGAGAGATGGCAATTTTCGAGAGATTAGCATTTATCAAACGTCTGCACCGCAATTTTCAGCTTTCTTTTCTTTTTTTTCATATGCCGTGCAGTTCCAAAAACTTTCGTTTCGTTTGATAGATTTTTAGGTACATTATTGTCATTAATATATATATATATATATATGCATATATAATATTATAATAGATACATATATTGATTTGCACGTAGTTATCAAACAAATATATATATATATATAATATTTATACATATATTTATATATATACATATGTTGATAGATGTGTGCATAATATATATATTATATTGTTGGTTGTGTGTTAAAATGCGTTTAACGAGACATATTATTACGTAATGAGATGAGGCGGGGCGATACGTTGTTTCTGGAATTTCTTTACATTTCTTCGTTTTCATTGTTTATCAGTAGAAAACTTGCAGAAGAGTTTCAACTATGCTATTTACTTAATGCGCTTACAAAATTAAATCAATCACATTTCTTAAATTTATCTAATACATAATATATATGTAATATTATTAATATGAATATTGCATGAAGAATTTACGTACTCCAAACACATTGAAAAACAAAAATTTAAATTTAGATCATATCAAAATGTCTTTCTCAACTGGCCTAAGATCGAACTAATAAAGCCTTAGTATTTGTCTCTTTTAACTTCGGGATTTACATTCCTTTTAGCTAGACAAATCTAAAGCTTAAATCAAGCTCTATTTCATTTAAGGATTGTATTGAAATCCCATTTGATATAATACATATTCAGTTCAAATTATAGTTTATCATTTTTTGCAATTTAAACGAAACTCTTTTCAAGCATAGTTTTCCAATCCTCTGCAAGCAGCTTAAACTTGAATTTTTCGTTATTTCTTTATCAGTTATTAAATTTTGAATTTAATTAAAATTGTGCGCTGACAGACGAAGATCAAGGCAAAAGTGAATTCAAATTTAACTTGAATTAAGTTTTCTTTCAACAATTTTTGAGTTCCACAAACTTAGCGCCAATGATCGCAACTGTACATTTTGTGGATCATGTGGTCGGTCGGTCTACGCTTTGCCATGCTCTTCGCTCTGTCTGTGTGTACGTGTGTGTGTGTGTGTGCGCGCGTGTATGTGTGAGAGTTACAGAGAGCGAGAGAGTATCGAGTACTGAGTATATTGAATATTGAGTATTTGGTATGACAAATGGATATGAAGGCAATTTGCATCAGATTTTATTAAGATAAAAATATATTTTTTTTTTTATTTCGAATATTTTTTATAGTTTTCTTTTTTTTTTTTGGTGTATTTGCACTTGAACGAGTCGAGTTGAGTTTGATTGATTGATTGACTGAGTTGATTTGAGAGTTGATTGATTGATTGATTGATTGATTGACTGACTGAATTGATTTGATTTGAAAATATATTGCTTCTCACCCGTGTGAGTCGTTAAATGTTTGTTCAGGTAATCCTTAACAGTGAACGCCCTGCCACAATAGCCACATCTAAATGGTTTCTCACCTGTATGTATGCGAGTGTGCTGTTTTAGTGTATTCGATTGAGTGAAGGACTTGCCGCAGTAGGAGCACGTGTAGGGGCGTTCTTTGGGCGTGGCGCTGTTTTTATTTTTTGAAAACAAATATTTTTTTTTTTTTTTTGATTGAGTATTTGCGGTGCGGGGTATAAAAAAAATAGAAAAAAAAAAGAACGAGAGAGAGAAAAAGATGAGAATAATTTGATTAGTAACATTCGTAATTCCAGTAATATTCATTGCACACTTAAACAGAGAGACAGAGAGAGAGATTGAGAGAGAGAGTGAGATTGAGATTGAACACAATAACAAGACAACGCTTGGAGCGCACGGGCCACGCCCCATGGCACTTGAAGGACGCGCCCATGCGCTCAGCCTCGGGACTGATCTTAAGGAAAACAAACAAAAATATATATATATATATAAGTGTAGGTAAATAAATGGTTAACGGTAAATTGGTAAATTGATAATTGTAAAAAAAAAAATATAAAATTATTTTTTAATAACAACTAGATGCTGCAAACGGTTGCTCAACAGTTGAGCCCCAAAGTGGCCAGCCGCAGCATCTGTTGTGTGTGCGTGTGTGTATATATTTTGTATAGGGTATCAATATAAATGTGGAATTTACTCTGCTTCGCCCGTGTGTATCTTGCGGTGCATGGCCAGCGTGCCGGGCGTCTTAAACGTTTTGGGACAATCGGGACATTTATGCCGGATCTTATGCGCCAGATCCGCGGGCACCGATTGCGTGCTAACCAGCACGCTGGTTGCACCGGCACCGGGTGTGCCCGCCGGCTGGACGCCAGGATTCGCTTGTATGGCATAGACAGGCACCGCATTCACCACATCGCCGCTGTCGCTCAAACTGAGTGGCTCCTCCTTGATGATCACCTGCAATTGATATGCATATGAGAATGGGACTATATATCGTGAGCATATGAAATATATCAGAGAGCATTTCCAGAATTACACAGAAGTAGACCTTTTACCGTTGGATAAATCACATTATTTTAAAGGTTCTCTCTTTCAAAATTCCCCGACTTACAGATAATAAATAACATGATTTTTCTTTAATCTGATATCAAATCTCATAAGAAATATTTGTTTCTTTCTATTTACTTTCGATAAAAGGTTCTCTCTTTAAAATTCCCCGACTTACAGAGATATCTCCCCTCAGATCTGATAATAAATTATATGAACTACGGAAAGCTCTCAAATTTCCTACCTTTATATGATATATATAGAGTATACTCTCACATTCCAAATTCTCGTTATCAACAGCAATTAAATTATATAATTTGATATGATTTTGATAAGAAATGTTATACAGAGAATAAATGCTATCAACAGATCTCCTAACTTGAAGTCTTTAAACCCATTAAAAACAGATAATGAATTACATAAACTAGCGAGAGCTCAGCCAAAGGACATCTTTTTAAGATTGAATTTTCGATGTGCTTCCCGTTTTTATAGCCTTTCTTATGAAATGTGAACCTAACTCCAAGTCCATAAAGTTTATATATTTCTGATCTGAACAGCTCTACCAAATTTTCGATTTGCTTCCAGTTTTTGTAAGCCCTTCCTATGTGAAATTTGAAACGCATACGAGGCGACATCTCTGAGCCCATAAGTCATATATATAGTCCTGATCTTGATTTTCAAGATATTTTAACCCAAACTGGACAATTTCGAGCTTCTACCTTAGCTTTAGCCTGATTCCCTTCTATATGAAATTCTGGAAATATTGTAAATATGATTATTTTGTCTGGCTGCTGCGTGTCTTCTGGAATGGCTTGACTTGGTTTTGGTTTCCGAAACTTACCTGGGGATGTGTTACCGTTGCGCCGTTGCCGTTCTTCAGCAGTTTTACCGTTAGCGGCGGCACCTTGGGCGTTGCCGGATCGGTCAAGTCTTCCTGATGCTGTTGCTCCTGGAGTTCACGTTGTCGCTGCTGCTCCTGTTGTTGCTGCTGCTGTTGCTGTTGTTCGAGTTGCTGGTGATGATGTTCCTGTTGATGTTGCTGTTGCAATTGTTGCTCCTGTTGCAGCTGTTGTTGTTGTTGCTGTTGCTGCTGTTGTTGTTGTTGTTGTTGTTGCTGCTGCTGTTGTTGTTGTTGCTGCTGCTGCTGCTGGTGCTGCTGCTCCTCGGGCGTCAGTCTCATATCACGCGGCGCCATGGCCGGCAGATCATCCGGCGTCACCGGCGCCTCCTGATGCTCCATAAACGTTTGCTGACCGGCGGCCAGCATGGCCGCATTGCAAACGGCACCACAGTGAGAGCATTTGTATTCGTTGGGATTCTGTGTTACAGAATTGACGCCATAAATGCTGCAAACGATGCAGCGCGCCAAAAAGACGGTCTGATGCGTCAGCCGATGGTGCTCGTCCACCTCCAGCGGGCTAGCAAACTTATCATCACAGTTGGAACACGCAAAGCTCAACGGCTTCAGCTGCTGCTGCTGCTGTTGCTGATGTTGCTGCTGCTGCTGCTGCTCGAGACTGGGTATACCGCCGGGCTGTGCGTTGAGTGTAATGCCATGGCAGAGCTGCATGTGCTCGGCGGCGTGCTGGGTGCGCTCGAACTGCTGATGGCACATGGGGCAGTAGTGCGGACTGATCACGTTCGGATCCATGCTGAGATTGGGCAGAAACGTTGTCTTAAGCGTGTCCATGCTATGGCCGGAAGGGACTGATCCTGCTCCTGCTGATCCTGCTGCTGCGGCTGCTGCGGCTGCTGCTGCTGCTGCTGCTGCTGATGCAGACTTTATATTGTTGGCTATCACGGCGGCAACTTGATGCGTGGGCTGTGGCTGGTGCTCCTCGGGGCGTGGCAGACGCAATTCCTGTGTGTTTGTGCTAGACTTTAACATTTCTTTCTTCAGGCTGGGCAGGCACAGGCAGTTCGGGCGAGCGGGCGGGCAGCGGGCTTAGTTTCTCGTATTGCTTTTGTTTTAGTTTTAGTTCAGTTTAGTAAGCGGCTTATTTCCAGCAGCACCAGTTCTGTAATGATGCATTTTTTTTTTGTTTGTTTCAGGCAAAACTCAGCATTTGGATTTGGTTTGTTTGTTTTATTAGTTCGTTAGGCGTGGCCGAAGGCAAGCCACAAAAATAATGCTCATTGAATTCGTTTCTTCTGCTCAACATGCTAGCAATACCTGAGAAGTAATGTCAGTGTAATGATTAATTTCAGGTGTTTATTCCATTAGCAGCATGACTGTACACATACAGTGGTCGCCCGTCAAGAAGAACTACCAATGAAATCCTTTATATTTTGAAGAAATTTTAAATCTTAAATGTTTTTCAATGTCGAACATTCGAAAATGAAATTAATATTATCTAAAGGTAATGCTGCGATTCCCATTTCTAAAAGTTCAAATTAGCGGGTGATCACTGTACCAAAGCTGCCGAAACTGAACATTCAATATACATATACGCTTTGCTCGAGGATCAGGATAATAGCAAATACATAACCTAAAAAATCGTTCTATCTGGCAACTCTGTTGAGTATTTCGAGCCTTTAGCATGCCTTTGCAGAGACTACGTGCTTAAAGATGTATTGCGCCAGGCGCAGCGAAAAGGCGAAGAAGAAAGCTGCGTTGCGGCGAGATAACAAAAGCGGTGACTGCGACTGCGGCAGCGCTGCTTGTAAAAATAAAAAAAGAAAAACACAAAAAGCGCGCTGTCCTGTTGCAGCAAGTGTGAAGCATAATACTAGTAGAAAACACACACACACAGCGAAGTGCAAAAGCAAGAGCAAATAGCAAAAGGCGGCGCAAATTAAGCGTAAATTAGCACAGAAAATCAGAAATTTGACGAGCCCAGCGGCGGCGGCGGCGACGACGGCGGCAGCGGCGACGGTGGCAGCGGCTCTCGCCTCGCGCGCAAAACGAAACAAAATCGGAAATCAGTTGGCGCTGCCGCTGCTGCGGCGGCTGCTGCTGCTGCTGCTACCGATCTCTGTTTCTGTGTTTCTCTGCTTCTGCTGGTTGTGTTCCCCCAAGTTTGACCCCCACGTCCACCCCCCTCCGTTTACACACACACAGCCAAACACACAGTCACACACTTATGGGGGGACAGGCAATGCGTTCGAATCGAAAAATTTTTCGGTCCGTCACTGTCATATTCTAAATTCGGAATTCTATTTTGATTTTTTTCTTTTTTTTTTTTTGTGTGCTGCGCTTTGCTGAGCGTTTTTGTTCCAAGCCCTTACCAGCGTTTCCACGTATTGCACTTGTGTATTATTACGGCCGTTTTTATGGCGAAATTGCCAATCAATTCAACAACATTTTCTTTGTATTTGTACAACAAAAATACATTAACTTTTCACTTTTATTATTATTTTTGGCGAAAAATGTACAAGTACAACAAAAAGTATCGACGACATCGATACTTTTGCGTATTTTACTTTGCACTGAAATTCCAACATCGATAACACCTTGATATTGCTAATTTGGTGTTGCCAGATAGTTGACACAACAGACCTGCACTGTTAACATTCAGTCACGAACTGTTTGCAAATGACTAAATTTACACAATTTGTATGCACCAAAATGTAATACTTACTATATTAAGCTGAAATATATGTACGTGGCGAGCACAACGTCATGTCAGAGTATGTGTACCAAGTGTGACTTGCACGCTTGCGGATTTTTTCGTGACACGAACACGCACGGAACAGCACAACGTGTTCGTGACACATATCAGTAGTTTCAATTAATAAAATAATAAGCAAGCTTATAAATTTCAACTAATCAAATTTATTTTATTATTACAATTAGGATTAATTTTCAGTTAAATAAACCCGACACCTGCCTATCAGCAAGCTATATGACAACAGAATCTCTCTAATTTTCACTTACTCTGCGCCTCACTTAACAGAATTACTCCACCGCCTAACAGAGCTTTTGCGTGTGTGTGTGTGTGTGTGAAATGTGCTTTGCTAATTTCACAACTGAGCAAAACAAAGTTTTTGATCGCCAGCAAAAGAAATTAAAAAACAATTTCAACACAATTGGCAATTTTAAATAGAGCATAAAACACGGCCAAGCAGGCAACTTGGTCAGATCGTCAACATATTACAATAAGCAGCGGGATAAGGAAAACGAGCTCGGACAGCCTAAATAAAGAAAAGTTTGTTTTGTGTATTTTTTGAAATTCAAGTGAATTTTAACAGTAAATTGTTTTTACTATTATTGCCTAATAGCATGTCGTCGCCCTGGTCCAAGGTGAGCGCTGAGCCCGTGCAGACAGCCAATTTGGCAGACATCATGTCCGAGCAATATGCGCATCGCCTGCACGACAAGGAGCTCAAGGAACAGCAGCTAAGGCAAGAGAAACAGATGCAGACCGTGGCCACGCCCACGCCCAGCTACTCGAATGTAGTGGACACATCAGCCAGTGCCAGCAGCAGCGATGCTGGCGCCTGGGAGGATTACTCCATGCTCCTGAATCTCGAAGAGGCGCAACAGCAGAAGGAACCGCTGCCGGGTGATATCTTGACCCTGTTGCAGGATGAGGCTGAATCGGATGCGGTTATAGCGCAAATGCTGCAATCCCAGTTCGATCACGAATACAACGAGGAGCTGCGTCGCATCGAACGGCAGCAGAACAAACAGTCCAAGGTGACCGTCACACTCAACAAATATCTGCGCAGCGGCGATGCGGAATTTCTGCACGACACCGAGGCGGACGAGGACTACGAGGAGGATGAGCTGGCGCATCGCAAGCACGACTGGGATCGCTTTGAGACAAACGAAAAGATACTGGATGCCATACCCAAGTGTGGTTTCAAGCTGGACAAAGAGGGCGAAATGATAACCAAGCATGATCCACAGCTGTGCGGCGTGCGTAATGCACAGCGTGTGATGTCGTTTCCGCCCGAGTTTCCCACCGGCGATGGCGCCTGCTTCGACATGAAGCTGTCCAACAAGGTTAAATGTTTACAAAGTAATTTTTACGTGCGCTGATTTAATTAAACTCTCCGAGCAGGTCTTCAATCAGCTGAAGGCTTATTCGCGGCGCGGACGCGCCGATCGCAAGGAGAAGGTGGCCACAGCTGAGATGGGCGTCGATGCGGCCACACGTCTGCTGCTCTACAAGCTGATCAACAATCAGATACTGGAGCAAATCAATGGCATCATATCCACCGGCAAGGAGGCGGTCATACTGCATGCAAATTCCGATGCCAGCTACACGGGCACCAATGAGCATGGACATGGCAATGGGGTGCTGATGCCCGCCGAGCTGTTGCCCAAGGAGTGCGCCATCAAGGTGTTCAAGACGACACTGAATGAGTTCAAGCAGCGGGATCGCTACATCAAGGACGATTATCGTTTCAAGGATCGTTTCAGCAAACAGAATCATCGGGTCATCATCAATATGTGGGCGGAAAAGGAGATGCACAATCTGATGCGCATGCAGAGCATTGGGCTGAATGTGCCCGATGTCGTAGTGCTAAAGAAGCATGTCCTGGTCATGCGCTTCATTGGCGACAATCACAATGCGGCGCCCAAGCTGAAGGATGCCCGCCTCAGTGCCGCCGAGCTGAGCTGCGCCTACGAGGAAATCGTTGCCGCCATGCACAAGCTCTATAACGAGGCGAAGCTGGTGCACGCCGATCTCAGCGAATATAATATACTCTGGTATGAGGGCAAGTGCTGGTTCATAGATGTTGCCCAGAGCGTGGAGCCGGAGCATCCCAGCGGCCTGGAGTTTCTCATGCGCGACTGCGCCAACATTGTGCAGTTCTTTGAGCGGCGCGGCCTGCCCAACATCTACACCAAGGAGCAGCTATTTGAGTTCATCACAGCGCTGAATGCCGAAACGCACAATGCTGCCATGCTGGAGCGCATACATACGCGTGGCGCCTCCATCAACCAGGCGACGGTGCCCAATCAGCTGGAGTGCCCGGATGAGCTGAAGCCGCTCGAATATCCCTTCGAGCTGGCCTGGGAGAAGTCGCAGCAGGAACGCGAGGCGGCCGCAGCGCTGCGTCAACTGCAGCTAAACGATGAGGAGGCGAAGCAGGAGCAAGCCGATGAGCAACCGGAGCACACGGAGGAGGTCAAAACGAAGCTTAACAACGACAACACTGCCAAATGTGTCCAGTGACGCGCGTCTGAATTTAAGATAACTATTAAACTTTAACTCTTAAATGTACTTGATTTGAATTTATAAAATTCAAAAACAAAATTATGTTGGACTTTGAGGCTCGCGTTGCGAATCCACATCTTTGGGTTCGATGCGTGTACCTCCACTTGCCACAGCCATGTCCAGTTTGTTAATTTTAAACATTTTCAATTGTTTAAAGATAGGTAACAATTTTATTTGAAAAATGTTAATTTTGTTTATTAAGCGTTGGCATAAGTTTTGACAACATCTCATTGATGCTTCCCTTTGGTTCAGACTAAATAAATTAAGTTCTTAAATTGCTCGGTATGCAAAAGGAACCCTTCCAAATTGTTAAAAGTTCTATTTATTCTAACAAGATATTATTAAAAAAATAACTGGGTTAAATTCAGCTATGTTTTTTTATACTAGAAAGGAGTTACGATAGATTATAATTTTAATATTTGTATACCCTGACCATGTGTAAAAAGGGTATAATGGATTCTCCTGGCATATATATTTCCGATGACAAACTGGACCTACTAGCCATGTCTTGTATGAACTTATCAAAGCCCGCAGACTTGAAACTTAAAAAAAATATATATTCTTCAATAAACTTCTTGAATATCTAAAACTATTTGCCTTTCTTGTATATAAGAGACAGAAATAGATTTCTTTGATCCAAAAAGTATGGCCTACATGATCTAGTCTTTTTTGTCTATTCCCGAATGTATGAACCCTTCGATCTCGGGAACTTCAAAAGCTAGCGCCTTGAAATTTTGGACATAGATTCTTTACAGATCATAAAAGGATTAAAATAGCCTCGCATCAATGATAACTCGCCCGTTGCTATGAAATCGATAAAAATCGATATAGAACTACTGTTTTTGAACAAATCTCGACGATTATAAGAGCTAGAGAAGTCAAACATGGAATGTAGGATATATTGGAGTACAAAGATTTACAGATTATTTGACTTTTTTGATCCGCCCACTCAATCTACTAAAAATTAAAAATAAGCGCATTTTAAGAGTTCAAGTCTTGGACTTTGGTATACAGACAGTTTTGTATGCCATATTAAAGTCCAGAAAATTTCGTTAATATCGCACTACAAAAACCCGAGTTAATCAAGAATGCATTCTCGTTACATGGCCTGGACTGGGGGCGGTACGAAGGGAGATAAAACGTTTAATTACAGGCTTAAGAATTTATTTATTATTTTGTTTATGTCTCTTAATGGCTTTGAACTTGAATGCAAATTGTTATTAATCAATTAATGCAAAATGTGAAAACTTTTCAAAACTGGCGCACGCGCCACGCCTTCGTCCGGGCTCGAGTAGCACAGCCACGCTCCCATAACGCCTCTCGGGAGGGGGCGACAACAATTGAACCCATTTGAGCCGCGCATTTGCCATTAATTGAGAGATTTCTCTGCGCCGTGCAAGAAAATCAACCAATTGATTAAATCATTTCCATGCGCATTCGAATCGCACTCGATTGGATCATCAGCCAACAACATTGTCTCGATGCGGCTTGCCGCATGCAACGCGACGACGATCAGCAGTTTTTTTTTTTTTTTTTGATACCCTGTACTCGTTAGCAATGCGCCAAGTGGGCTTGCTCAACTTTAGACAAGGCATGCAACAGGCAAAAGCTTGTGCCTGGAGCTTGTGAAAGCTTATTTCTCTTTCTATATAGGCAACTACTGGATCCGGATGTAAGTACGATTTCAACTCTAGGGAAAAAGCTAAAAGAATTCTCTTTTTTTCCATCTGCTAATTTTTGGGTAATTTTTGAGTATTCCAAGCCCATGAGAAAATCATTATAATCTACCTAGATATTTTAATATTCTATTATTTATTAAATGTAAATATTTAGAGTAAGTAAAAAGTCAATCGAATTAAAAACCAAAAACACAATCAAAGGTTTTCACTCTTCTCCCTGTCGTGAATTTAACAAGCAGGTGAAATTCGAATTTAATTCATGAACTTTAGCAAAATCTGAATTTTTGCGGAAAGTGTGAAATTACTCTTCGAATGAATTTTCACAAAGATCTTTGAATTGGATTTTGTGGTCGATTTCGTATGATAAACAAAGAAGCTTTACACTTTCCGCGCATTTTCCACGCCTGCGGGTGGAATTTGCCATAAACCCACCTTTTACTGCGGATGAGGTATAATATTTTCATTTTGTTAGTTATATTTAATAAATACATTTTCATTGATGGCTCTGGCGACCTTTCCATATTTCAATATTTATTTGTTGGCTGGCTCGAGGTCCGTGTTTGTTAAAACAAA